TAACATTTAACAAAGCTTCAAAATCATCAGTCATGTATGAGAAATAAACTCATTAAAAGACAGAAGGCAAACTCTGAGCTCAAAAAGAAGGATGTTTGAGTTAAAGGGAAAGAAAGCCTCACCACCGTCTACGAACACAAGTGTAAATGCCACGCTCCATGAGTACAGAGCAACACAGCTTGAACGCTTAAAATCAAGTCGGTTTTCAGTTCTTTGCAACAAATGTGGGAAATGATGTACACAAACGTAGTATTATATGGTTAATTATTATATGAGCTTTACATTCTACATACACACGCACATACATTATACCATATATACACAGAAAACGAGAGTCTGAAGAAATTTAATATAACAAAACATACAAAAACTATGCCAGAATCCTGAAAAATTAAATTCATTTATGGAAAAAAAAAATCTGATTAACTGATAAATATTATTTACTTGTCCTCCTGCTCTGCTGTACAAAAGACCCAAAAGTGTGAAATAGAGGCTCACCTAAAAACGACAAGTTCCTCTCTCTGAGTTCGTCTCGTAGCAGGTCTTCATGCTCCAGACCGACGGCACTATGGGAACACGGTCAAGGACAAACTGCAAACCAACTCCACTAAACTTTACTTTGTGTGCTCGCTTCTCATTCTCATGGGAACTGAAGTGAAGATGAAAAGTAGGGTGGTCAACTTTTACAAGCCCATTTTTAAATGCTACCTGTGCTCGGTTGCCATGAAAACACTGAGCAGGGTTGCTGTGGCAACAGCAGAGGAATGTGTGTTTGTTGTAATATCAGGAGTGAGTGTAACAGAGATGAACATAAGAGACCTAAACACACTCAACATGAACACGAAGCATTCGTGAGCTAAAGCCCAACATTACAGTGCTACAGTGTTCTGAGTGGTTGCTAGGGTGTTGCTAGAGTGTTCTGAGTGGTTGCTAGGGTGTTGCTAGAGTGTTCTGAGTGGTTGCCAGGGTGTTGCTAGAGTGTTCTGAGTGGTTGCCAAGGTGTTGCTAGAGTGTTCTGAGTGGTTGCCAGGTGTTGCTAAAGTGTTCTGAGTGGTTGCCAGGGTGTTGCTAGAGTGTTCTGAGTGGTTGCCAGGGTGTTGCTAGAGTGTTCTGAGTGGTTGCCAGGGTGTTGCTAGAGTGTTCTGAGTGGTTGCCAGGTGTTGCTAAAGTGTTCTGAGTGGTTGCCAGGGTGTTGCTAGAGTGTTCTGAGTGGTTGCCAGGGTGTTGCTAGAGTGTTCTGAGTGGTTGCCAGGTGTTGCTACAGTGTTCTGCGTGGTTGCCA